ACAGCTGAGCTCACTGTCATAAGTTTGTACTTGAGTTTGTATTAATCCATCAAAGTCTCTTAGATTTCTTAGAAAAAGACAGCCTACATGTTTTTAGATAAAATGATAGGGTTCTTAATGTAGATTTCACCATGAGAGTGAGCAAAATAAACAGTGTGTAGATGATTCAAAGTTATGGCTTGGACATTATCAGGAAGGGCCTCATAAACTTATCAGCCATGTTTCAGATTTCTACAGCATATTATTCCATCTAGCCATTCCGCAAACCTTTACTAGGCATCCAATCAAGCATCAGTCCTACATTAGGTATCAGAGATAAAAAGAGGAGTGTGGATTCACAGCTTAGAGGAGGGACAGGCATGCATACTAAAGATTACATACCTCCATGTGTGCTAAATATAAGTATGAGCTCTGTGCTGTGAGAGCACGGAGAGAGGGGAACTTCACAAAAAGAAGAAATAATTGGGCTGGGTCTTAAAGAAAGAGTAGAGTTTGCCAGGCAAAAATACATTTAAGGCTCAAAGACAAAAAAGAAAAAAAAAAACCAGCTTGGTGCAAATGAATAGAGAAATGAAAAGGCACAACAGGTTTAAGAAGCACCAAGTTCTATCTGACGTGTGTCTGTGGTGTGCATGTACGTGATGAGGGCTGATGGCAGAGGAGTGAAGAAAGAGAGCTTGAGGTCAAGAGAAATGCTAATTCATGGGGGCACAATTTTGTAAGGAAGAGCCAATAGGCTTTTTGATTATGGACTACCACGATCAATTTTGACCTTTAGGACAATCACTATAACTAGGGGATAAAACTTGCATTGTTGCAGAATAGAAAGAAAGTGATGGAGGGGGTCTAGAGAAGCAGCCATGGAGAAGATACTATCTCCTAGCCTGGCAGAGCCTAAAGTCCTTGCCTGATACCTGGCCAGGTGCCCCTCCAGCAGCACATTTTGAAGAAGTGCTTGGTCCCTTCTCTCCTGTCTGAATCTGTCAAAGCTGAAGAAATAGAGAAAAGTCCTTTAATTTCTTTTCTGCAATTTGTCCTGAAACGTGTCTATAGGTTAGAGAAAACAAATCGAAATTCTGTGAAATGCTCCCTCTGAGCTCGTCTTTCAACCTACAAAGATTGATTTCTTATAGCAAGATGGAGCTTGTAAAGTACAAATTCTGCTGGAGAAAACATCATTGGATTGTAAAACTGACCTGATTTTCATGAACAGAAAATCTAATTATGTACCATAAATTCAGGTCTAAGCATATATTTCATTTTATTTTTATCAACCATGAGTGGTTTTGGCAAGCTTTATGACAAAATGATATTTGGGCATGTATGCTAAGTTTTTAAATGAAATTGTCAAAAACAAGTCTTAGGTTAATGAATTACATGGAAAATTGCTATCACATTATTTTATCTTATATAGTATTGGCAGGAAGACTGGTGAGAGAATTACAACCCAAATGATATAATGAAATGGAAATTTACAAGCTGGGGTGTGGGAAAGGGCCAAAAGAGTATCATTCTCCTGATATGGTGAGTAGTCACTAAGGAAGATGTGTAAGGTTACTCAGCAGGTGACGTGTGTGCATGTATGTGCATGTGTACAGATAGATAAATAAGAGAGAGAGAGAGAACAGAAAGAGTAAAATGTTTTGAGGACTCTGATGAGAAGTAGTAATTTAATATTGGAGGCAAATGAGGTCCAAAAAATTGGAGACATGACTTAAATGACACCATCTCCTTACTCCTCTTTGTGTTAGGCAGATAGGAGCAGTGAGAGGTTGAAGGCAAAGGTTCAATAGCAAGGGTTCAGTAGCAGCAGTTCACGCCATGTCTGAGGGCTAGGCTTGTTTCATCACAATGGGATGAGGCAGACTGGAAAAGGCTAACACTAGAACTTGATCTTCCACTGGAGTACTACAGGAGAGGGTTGGATATCAGTGAGACCTACGGGTGGAGAAGGCCCACTCCAAAGAAGCAAAACACAGCATCCAGAGAGTATGGAAATATACAGTAGATGGAAGCCAGGTAAACCACTAGGTGGGACGGGCAGGAAAACATGAAGTTGAGTGATGCAGAATCAAGGATAAAGAGGACAAAGGGCTGCATATAGCATTACATAACAGAACCCTGTCCTCACTGGGAGAGGCACCAATCCTCCGAGGGGACTGATCACAGAAAGGAATGAGCCTTTATTTAGGATAAACGGAAGGCCTGCTATCAAGACAGAAAGCCAGAAACCAGATAGAAAATCAAACCTGACTTTCAGGTAGATTCCAGAACAGAATTTATTGCTTTTTCCCTGAGTGCCTGGAAGAACAGCTGTGATATACAGAAATTTGGCAGCATTTAGTAAATGAAAGACTGGACCTTTGGAACTGGAGAACAGGTCAGAATCCCATGATCAACAAGCTTATTGTGATGCTAAGGCCCAGAAGGCTAGACCAATGCTTCTGATGTCTCTCCTACTTACAGTCGGGGTTGGGTGAGGGATTAAGAATGTTGGTTGGGATCAATACAAGGGTGTGGGGAACCAGAGGAAAGAGACAAAGCTGAGAATTGAGAAAAACTGCAGCCACCACAGTGCCTTTTCCCTGAACCCTTTCTACCTGCTTCCTCCCAAATCCCTTCTGTCTGGTTACATTTTGCTTTATAGTTAGAAGTTAATCAACTTCTATTAGTTAAGTAAATGGTGTTTCCAAGGATCTGAGCATGGGAGATAGGTAAGGTATTAATATGGGAGGCTAAGGAATTTTGTGGGAAAAAGATAATAAATTCTTGTTTTGATATATTTAATCCAAGGCATGATGAATGAGAAATGTCTTATAAAATGTATGGAATATAGGTCTGCAATGAAGATTAAGTGTCTAGAGACCTTGCATCTAGACAAGGCAATTGCAGACATTCATCTGAACTGACGGACTTTTTCCAAAGGAGTAATCTTAGAAGAAAAGTCCAAGGAATGTGAAATCCAGTCCTACAATGAGATCATTGGTAACAGTGCAAAAGAGGAGAGAGAGAGGGGGGGAGGAGGTAGGGAAGGAGGGAGGGAGGGAGGGAGGGAGGGA